TGCGCTGCGCTATTGAAATTATCGCGTTTGATTTTGTGGAGGGAGTATCCCTCCTCCCCACCCCCATATGCACCCTCGTAAATTTTGCACAATCGTGAGCTACATCTAAGTTGTGCATTCAACTTGATTTGCGCATTTGTACGAACGTTATTCATTTATTGCGTGATCGTACATTTTCTGCGTGATTCCTGGATTTGCGCCAACTTGTTCCTAGAACCGAGCTATCACGTTAATAAAGCCTTCTCTGCCTCTAATTTTAAGTTTCAATCAAAAATAATATTTTGGCATCGTAATGCCTCAGAATCATATCGTTTACTTTCGTGGTTCGACGAGTTTGTGTGGGCAGTTAGCTGTGAGAAAAAGATCTATTCCATCTTGCGTCGAACAGTATCCAGCTTGTAGGAATAAAGTACTGATACTTCATAATTACGAATAACGAAAACGCATTTGACAACGCCATTTTTTATATGCTATGATCGCGTGCACACCTAAGAATACACAAAAGCTAACTGTAACAAACATCGGATGTCTTTTCAACACTCAAAGACACAAGGGATCGAATGTTGCGTCTACCTGACTTTTTGTCCTTTGCCGTTTCCTAACCCTTAAGCCATCATACACATCTTCAAAGAAAATCTTGCAGTTTCGAAAAGACAGATTTCGAAACGTCAGGAACCGAAACAGCGGAAATTGTTACTAATACTAAGTTTTTTCTGTATATATTTATTTCAAATGATTTGTCCGTAAGCAATTTTGTAAGCGTTTCATGTATTTTGTGTATTTTCATATCTTCTATGCCCCGTGAATGGTATGGGCTTTAAGATCTCGATTTTTGACGGCGCTTTTGTGGGCAAATTGTCCTATCTTAGACTGAGGCTTCTCAGCTCAGTCTTTCTCTTTTTCATGTGTAAAAAAAATATGAACATATTAGTGCAACCAAATGTCTATTTTAAAAGAGGATCTGACGTACGTGCTCCTGCTAGGAATAAGTGTTTGGACTATTTCTGGGAACACCTCCCCTCCCCCCTCCCCCCTCTCACCCACACGCACACAAAAAATCGAGATTTGTTCTTGCCGTAGCTTACACAGGAAGCTCAAGATTGGTAGCTCGCAGCAATGAATGTCTTTTTTATCAGAAATGAGATAACCGAGCTGAAAAAACGCCAACGCTTTTTAAATAAAGTTTATGATCGAATGTGCTATCAAAGAGATAATGTTGAAGCGGCACGGAAACTGAGATTGCATGAGCGCTTATTATATTCGATACTGTTACCCTAGGGTAATGTTCTTTGGAATTTTATTTGGAGAGTTGAGAGGTAAAGGGTGACTTGAAGTAAAATATCAAAGTACCGAAATCTTTGTTGCAGTTCTGTAGTAGGTTTGCTGCAATCGTTGTAAAAAGGTAGACTGAATGAGTTTACTTTTGCCAACGATTGCCTTACCAATTTMGTGCAACTACAACAAATGAAGCAACGCACTTTTTAGTGCTTAACATAACTGTAACACACGTTTCAAGAATTTAAAATTATTGCAACGTTGTATAAGGTGGCAGCGCCCATGAACCGATGAAATAGGACGGGGAGGGGAGGGGAGGCTAGGTGAGGGTAAAATAGGGGAAGAGTAAGATCATCTAAAAGACTCATGCTTCCATTTTATTCATTCTTTTTGATACGCGGTAAAGTAAATGAAAAACACGAGAGAAATGTTATTTTATTCCATGTCTGAGGGTAGGGGAGGGGTAGGGGAGAAGTTTAGCTGCTCTCTCGTTCTTAAATCCAGTTCACTGATCGACCAGCCATGACCAATTTATAAATCCTTTCAACATCAAACATCAATTTTCTCAAACCCTTAAATAACCTCTAGCCAGAGCAAATCTGACCCCTAGGAGTTTATCGACCGATTACAATAGCATTTGCCGGCTTCCACTCACGACCGGTTACAAATATAACCAATGAGATAAAGCGCCGTCRGCTTTTGCTATGAATTCTACACCAGTAACCAGATAATATATGCATTTTTATTTCGTAATAAAATTACCAATATGATAAAAGGGAGGCAATTCAATTAATATTATACATACAGATCAAGATCTTTCTCGATTTAATATAAAAATAACGCCAGATGCGCGCATGCGCAATAAGTTATCACCCGAGTAAACTCAACRACTTTCTTAACATGTTAAATTCCATTACGTTATAAGAAGATAACCCATAAATCCTGAAAGGCTTGATAAACATACGGTGCGGTATGACACTTGACAAGATAGACTCTTGTGAAAATCGTTTTCCATGAGTATAGTTTTGACCAAATAAAAAGTAAAAAGCATTGAGATTTTAAGATAAATGTGTCTAGCGTCTACCACAGTTCCCCTGAGCTAAAAATCGAATTTCCTCTTCCTTTAAAGCGTAATTATACATCATAAACTCGTCTATAATTCCCCTAAGGTATGTTTTCTCGTAAAAATGGTATCCAATACCCGCAAAATGTCCCCAGTCTTGAGATAAGTCTCCTGATGCAGATTTTCTCTTTTTCAGATTACCATTGATATAAACCTTGGCCATCATTTCTGCAGAGTCATACGTCACTACTATATGCGTCCATATCCGAGCTGGTATAACCGGTAATGTCACGAGATTGAAAACCTGTTTGTCCTGTTCTTGATGGTGGTACCAGATGACTTTTCCTGTGTCGACCGCAAAGTTATATTGGTCATGCTTGTGCTCAGATCTACTTCCAATGGTGTTGAAAATCTCGTGATAGCCCCTGGTAAGTAAGTAATAAGAAAACATTATTGATATTCTTACTTTAATCTTAGAACTCCAGACTTGCAATATAATTGATACCCATAATATATACATATAGATTATATATATTTCTTTGTAAGTAAATGTTTATATAAGGTTTCTCACGAAACGGAAAGCGCGCGCAACACATGACAATAAGGTCTTAAGAGGCTGCGCGCATGAAAGCCGGTTACACAGATTCGCCATCGTGAGAGTGTGCAGTCAATAAGACTTCTGCCACCAAAATCGCGCAGCCATCTTGAAAATCCAGAGTTG